AAATAACTAGGTGACTGCACCTGTTCATTAAAATAAATAGATCAAAAGTGAATAAGTGGGCTTTAGAATAATAATAGTACACTAAGCAAACAATTTAATGATCCTGCAAACTGTATATATAAAGTAGACTCATTGCTCTGTTGGTGAGAAAACCATTATGTCAAAACTTCCATTAATAAAAGAGATTTAAAAAGCTTTTCTTTCTTCTCCGTCTTTCTGGAGCGGGCGTATTAGAATTCTTCCTCGTTTTGCTTTCTGCATAGGCAATAGTAAAAGTGTCGAATATATCTCCTGCTTTTTATTTAAACAACAACACAAGGGCTTTCCTTGGCGCGGTTATTTTTTCCTAAGTCTTTCTGTTGTAATAAGCCACAAAGTTTAGAGTGATTTTAGAGTGGAGTTGGTGAACACAGGCAGAGAGGAGGGAAGATTGCATTCATGAATGAAAAGGACAATATATGTTAGAACAGTGTTTCTCAAACTTGACCATTTTAAGGCATGTGGACTTCAACTCCCAGAATTCCACAGCCAGCATTGCTGGCTGTGGGATTCTGGGTGTTGAAGTCCACATGCCTTAAAATGGTCAAGGTTGAGAAACACTGTATTAGAAGATTGTCATTTGGTGTCCTCAGGATCGTGGGAGGAAGGGATGCAAAGCTTGGCGATAGTTGCCTGTTGTGCTTCAGCGAACGCAAATTGTGGAAGAACAAGAATGAGTTTGCGAGGGGAATTGAGCCCCGTGCCGAACGAATGCAATTTAGGGGAAAGATGATTCACGAATGGCTAAATTCCATATAGAAAATGGAATCGGAACACTTGGAAAGAATGAAGAACGTTGATTGTATCGGCTTAGGAAATCTGTCCTGAATATCTGTTTTAAGCAAAAATCAGTTCATAGTTGCAGATGGAGGCCTTTGAACTCTGGTGCTGGAGAAGACTCCTGCAAGTCCCCTGGACTGCAAGGCAATCCAACCGGTCGGTCCTGGAGGAGATCAACCCCGACTGCTCTTGAGAAGGCCAGATCCTGAAGTGGAAACTCAAGTCCTTTGGCCACCTAATGAGAAGGAAGGACTCACTGGAGAAGAGCCTAATGCTGGGAAAGATGGAGGGCAAGAGAAGAAGGAGACAAAGACAGAGAAGGAGGTGGCTGGAGGGAGTCCCTGAAGCAGCAGGCGTGAGCTTCAATGGACTCCAGAAGATGGCAGAGGACAGGAAGGCCTGGAGGAACGTGGTCCATGGGGTCGCGATGGGTCAGACACGCAACTAACAACAACAACAAGTTGCAGATAGAAAAGGAGACCATCAAAAATCTTAATTGATCTGTTTATAGGAAAGAGAGAGATAATTAGCGAATGATGCAAAGTCAGGAGAGGTTTTGGATCTGGGGTAAACTATATTTTAGGAGTCCCAAAGCTGCTTTTTCAAGAGGCGACTGGACTTTTCCTTGCATTTCCTTGAAGAGGTTTCACTTCTCATCCAAGTCGCTTTTTCTAATTCTGACCAAAGAGCTGAACTGTTCGTCAGAACTGAAGAAACTTCTGGGATGAGAAGCGAAATGTCTTCAAAGGAAAAAAACAAAGGAAGTCCAGTTGCCTCTTGAAAACAGCACCTTTGGGACAACCATGGATGACTTGAGAATCTCCATAGACATATATTTTGGCAGTGTCAAGAATAGTCTTGGGGGGGGGGGAAACAGACATGGGAGAAGAACGGAAAGAAACTAGACCGAAAGTAAAATAATAGCAGGGAGGGAAAATATGAATCTTATTCAGAAAAAGCGCTAGAAGGTAGATTAATCATCCCCTGGATGAATAGAAAAGGGGTGTGGAAGCTGAAGTGAAAAGAATTGTGTTAGACGTCCAGTGAAGAGTTGTTAATGAAGAAAAGGAAAAATATGCATCGTGGAACAAAGGCAGAAAAGGCTGCAGATAAAAAAAAAAAAGCATGTCAGTGAAGCTTGCTGCAAAAAAAATTAAAAAAAACCTCCAAGATTAAAAGGAAGTTGTTGTGGAATATATATAGAAAAAAAGATAATTGCAAAGGACGGTTAGGATTAAGAGAAGCAGAGGGAATGCAGGGTGCTTGTGAGAGGAATAAATGGCTTAAAAAGGGTGAGAACTTTAAGGCTGGAATGGAATTAAAAATATTAAAAAGGATATGATATGACCAGGGGTTAAACCGAAGTGAAGGAATATATTAGAGAGGTTTGCATTGAAAGGATATTGAAGTGTCAAAGAAAAGAATGAAAAGAAAAGTTATAAATATTCTGCCCAAGAAAAGCATGAAAAGAATTCATCAATTCTGTGGAAAATGATGAGAAATAATAAGGCAGCAGGTGTTGGTTGTGTAACTAGCCAAATATTAAAAATCTAAATGCGTTCTACGGAGTGGGTGTGTAATATATTTATGGATGATGAATACATAAGGAACGTTTGATACTGGAAGTGTGTTGGTCAGGGGTATGAAGGTATGAATACTTTTATGAGGAAATGAGGTGGTCTTGTAGATTGAAAGCCCAAATTAACATCTGTGAATAAGAAAGATGAACTTGGTCGTCTGATTATGTGATGCAAAAAAAAAAAAGAGCATTTTTGAACCTGAAAAATAATGTGGCAAAAACCAACGAAGTATTGTAGTTTGTGTTATGGAGAATCCATTTAGGTGGAAAACCAATGTTTGTGAAATTTACGTAGCCCTGATGTCTTAATGAAGTATTCAACCCGTGGTTTTTGTTAACTTGGAATACGGGGGCTGGAAGGGACCTTGGAGGTGTTTGGTCCAACCGCCTACGCGAGCAGAAGTCCTTATACCATCTTGGACAAATAGTTGTCCAATCTTGTTTTGAACTCCTCCAGCAACAGAGCACCCACAACTCCAGGTGGCAAGCTGTTCCACTGATCAATTGTTCTTACTGTCAGGAAAATTCTCCTTAATTCCAGACTGGATCTCTCTTTAAAGAGCTTCCACCCATTGCTTCTTCTCCTACCTTCTGGTTCTCTGGAGAATAAATCAACCACCTCTTTCTTGGAACTCCCTTCAAGTATTGGAAGACAGCTGTCATGTCAGCCCTAATCCTTCTCTTCATTAGGTTAGCCCAGGGGTCTTCAAACGTGGCCCTTTTATGACTGGTGGACTTCAACTCCCAGAATTCCTCAGCCAGGCACACGTGCCTGGCTGAGGAATTCTGGGAGTTGAAGTCCACCAGTCATAAAAGGGCCACGTTTGAAGACCCCTGGGCTAGATACACCTCGCTTCCTCAACCGTTCATTTATCTCCAGACCCCTGATCATCTTTGTTGCTCTTCTCTGCACTCTTTCCAGAGTCTCAACAACTTTTTTGTATCGTGGTGACCAAAACTGGATGCAGTATTCCAAATGTGTGGCCTTATAAATGGTATTAACACTTGCTGTCCACTAATAGCAATTTTGAAATGCCACGAAGCAACTAGATTTAAGGCAGCATTAGAAACTTATGAGATATTTCATATGCATTTTCCAGTCAGCATCCATGTGTGCATGTTAAGCTTGACACTACAAAAAGACTTGCTAACATTATTGTAATCACTGAAAGAATGTCATATGTACTAAATAAGGAATACCACCAACAGTATAAATTATACAACAAGTTAAAATATGAACTCTGAAACCCAAATTCTATATAAAAGATTGTTGTCCACAGTAGGGATGATTTTCAGTTAAAATTAAATTCTGTGTCATGTTTACTTTTTTTTTTTTAAAGACATGGAGCCATACTGTCACAATTTAGTCAGCTGTTCTTCACAAGAAGAAATCAAAGTTTTTTTCCGATAGAAAGCATATAATTCTTTGCAACTGTTGACATATATAATGCCAGTTCAATATTTGGAAGGGATCTAAGGCCTGGTAAAATATAATAATAATAAAAATATCTTAAAGGGGTATTGCCCTGGGATTGTAACTTACAAAATTCATTTCATTTTCCAATATTTTGGGCTTTACTTCACGTTGCCACCACATATGAAATAAAATCCGACCGGCTTCTTGTATTTCCAAGAAGTTTAAGAAAAAGAGTTTCATTTTAGCAGCATAGGACTACAGCAAATATGTTGAGGATAAAACATCTTATACCAATTGTCTCTGAATATGACATTCAAAGTAAATGTCATCCCCTTTTTCCACTGAAATTCCCACTGTGCATCTCTCGGTATATTTATATTCTCTGTTTGTTTAATCATGCGATCTGCGACTTAATTCAGATTCTTAGTCATACTTCACTAACATTTATCAACCATGCTGAACAAACGATCAGTATGACAAGATTTTCAGATTCAGTCAAACTTCTCCATGTCCTGCGTTGTTTCTGTAATTCTTTTTATAGTCACACTGCTTATTTGAAGACAGAGAAAGCAGCTGAATCTAGAAAAGCACTATATGGTGAATAGATAGTGGGTCGACTAGATAGATAGATAGATAGATAGATAGATAGATAGATAGATAGATAGATAGATAGATGATGGATGGATAGATTGATGGACAGATAGACAGACAGACAGACAATGTAGAAGGATGGGATGGATGGATGAATGGGGGGAGAGAGAGAAACTTATTCTGAGTTCTATATTCTAGATAGATGATAGATAGATAGAAGATAGATAGGCATGGATGGATGGATATTTGGATGAATGGATAGATGGATGGATGGATGATGTGTATAGATGATGGATGGGTTGATGGATGAATGGATGATGTGGATAGATAGATGCTGGATGGATGGATGGGTCGATGGATGGATGGATGGATAGATGGATAAATGATGTGGATAGATAAAGACATGATGGATAGATAGATGGATGGATGGTGTGGATAGATAAAGATATAATGGATGGATGGATGGATGGAAAGATGGATATATAAAGACATGGTGGAGGGAGGGAGGGAGGGCATGTGTTTCAGCTCATCAGCAAGGAAACCTTACTCTGGATCATTGTTTATTCTTTCCTTGTACCTCTTTTTGTTTTGTAGGTCCTGAATGAAGCTGTGGGTGCCCTGATGTATCACACCATCACTTTAACCCGTGAGGACTTGGAGAAATTTAAAGCACTTCGAATAATTGTTCGAATTGGAAGCGGTTTTGATAACATTGATATCAAATCTGCTGGCGACCTAGGTACTATATCCATTCGCGTCTTTTGAAAGTACTAATCGTTAGCCAAGTTGGGGCGCTAAGGTAGCCAGACCCATCTTGCAATAGTTTGACCTAGGTGGCCCTCCTTATTTGCAGGGATCTGTTCTGGCTTGCATGGATAATGAAAACACAAGTGTGAAGGGATGGGGAGGGGTTGGTTCCAGGGTCCCAGTGACAATTTTCTGAAGATCAGCGGGCGAGCATGGCTGATGGAAAAAAACGGACGGTGAGATCACGAGCATATGGGAGAATGAAAGCCCAGTTTGTACTTTTAAATCAAATTGCAACCGGATGCTTATTGCACTATAAGCATGCAGCCAGTTCCCGGAGAATATGCCTCATTGAATTTGGGGTGATATTTACCGATATGTAAATGCAACACTGATGACTTTGCAGCAAGTTTAATCCTAAACTCTCTCTGTGCTTTCCTGGTTATTATCTGTTTTTAGCATACCAGAAATCTTACGTTTCTAATGGAATAGCAAAACGTTTTCCATGCAACAATCCTTGACTTAAAGCCATTCATTGAGCCACTGTTCCAAGTTATAATGGCACTGGAGAAAAAATGATTTACAACCCTTAGGACTCTTATTATTATTACAGTCATTTTTTCAGGTGTTTGGCAAATTATTTATCACAATTGTGGTGTTCTGGGATCCCCTGGTCACCATTGGCCACCTCCCCAGCCAACTTCTCACTTAGCGACAACATTTTTTGGCCCAATCCTGGTCATAAGCTGAGGACTGCCTGCAGGTCACTTGGGCCAAGTTAACTCTTTCCAACGGCGGCTCGCGATGGCTTGATTGTCCCACCATGAAACCATCTCAGCTCTTCCTTCCTTCCTTCCTTCCTTCCTTCCTTCCTTCCTTCCTTCCTTCCTTCCTTCCTTCCTTCCTTCCTTCCTTCCTTCCTTCCTTCCTTCCTTCCTTCCCCACTCCAGGGATCGCCGTTTGCAATGTCCCGGCGGCCTCGGTGGAAGAGACAGCCGATTCGACGATGTGCCACATCTTGAACCTCTACAGACGAACCACCTGGCTGCATCAGGCTTTGCGAGAAGGCACCAGAGTGCAGAGCGTGGAACAGATTCGGGAAGTTGCTTCCGGAGCAGCCCGAATCAGAGGAGAGACGCTGGGCATTATTGGGTTAGGTGGGTCAAAATGTCTCGCTACAACCAAGGGTGCTTTTGTTGTTGTTCAGTTGCTAAGTCGCGCCCGACTCTTTGCGACCCCGTGGACCACAGCATGCCAGGCCCCCTTTGTCCTCCAGGGTCTCCTGCCCAATTTCACGTTCATCGTGTTGATGACACCATCTAACTATCTCCTCCTCGGCTGTCCCCTTCTCCTTTGGCCTTCCATCTTTCCCATCATCAGGGTCTTCTCCACTGAGTCCTCTCTCCTCCTCTGGTGGCCGAAGTATTTGAGCTTCAGCTTCGGCCTCTGTCCTTCCAAAGGACGGTCAGGGTTGGTTTCCTTCAGGGTTGACCGACTGGACTTCCTTGCAGTCCAGGGGACTCTTCAGAGCCTTCTCCAACACCACAATTTGAAAGCACAAATTCTTCGGCGCTCAGTCTTCCTCGTGGTCCAGCTCTCTCAGCCATGCATGGTTGTGGTTCAGTTGCTGGGCCATGCCTGACTCTACACAATCCCATGGATCACATCATGCCAGGCCCCCTTGACCTCTGCTGTCTCCTGGAGTTTGCCCAAATTCATGTTCGTTCATCATCAACGGCACCATCTAACCATCTCCTCCTCCGCTGTCTCCTTCTCCTTCGGCCTTCCATCTTTCCCAACACCTGGGTCTTCTCCATTGAATCCTCTCTTCTCATTTGGTGGCCAAAGTATTTGAGCTTCAGCTTCGGCCTCTGTCCTTCCAAAGGACGGTCAGGGTTGGTTTCCTTCAAGGTTGACTGATTTGATCAGCTGGCTGGAGTATTCTGAGAATTGACGTCCACACGTCCTAAGGTTGTCCAGGTTGAGACACATTGCTCTAAATAGCAATGGCACTTAGACGTATATCCCGTTTCACAGGGCTTTACAGCCCCCTCTAAGCAGTTTATACAGTCAGCCTCTGGCTCCCAGCAATCGGAGTCCTCTTTTTACTGACCTGGGAAGAATGGAAGGCTGAGGCAACCTTGAGCCGGTCAGGATCGAACTCCTGGCAGTGGGCAGAGTCAACCTGCAATGCTGCATTCTGACCACTGCGTCACCCCGTACAGCTTAGCACCCCATACAATCCAGATTATATAATAATAGCGACAACAACAATAATAGAATTGGAAGGGACCTTGGAGGTCTTCTAGTCCAACCCCCTGCTCAGGCAGGAGCCCCATACCATTTCAGACAAAGGGTTGTCCAGTCTCTTCTTGAAAACTATCTCCGAAAGGAGAGAAGTAGCGCTCCGTTCATGGTCTGAAAACCGCCTTCCTTGCAGGACGAGTGGGCCAAGCCGTCGCGCTGCGTGCCAAAGCCTTTGGCTTCAACGTCATTTTCTACGACCCGTATCTCTCGGACGGCATTGAGCGGGCTCTCGGCCTCCAGCGGGTGAGCACCCTGCAAGACCTGCTGTTTCACAGTGATTGCGTCACCCTCCACTGCAGCCTCAACGAGCACAATCATCACCTGATCAACGACTTCACCATTAAACAGGTAAGGATGGACCCGAGTGGGCCGTGAGGATCGTAACTTCTTTGTGTTGCAGTTCTGAGCGTCCAGGAGACGTTAACCGGTAGCCAGGAGCCTGGGCAAAGCAGGCTGGTCTGGCTGCCGTGCCCCCTTTATTGAAGCTGTGTTACCAATAAAGGGGAATATTTGTAGCTGAGGGTTAAAATGAGGGATCCTGGGTGCTCTCTGAGCTTGGTGGTTTGCTGGCAGACCTTTCCTTACCAAACTAGGTAACCTCATCAGTGCTAGAAGTGGATTAAGGCGAGGAGGAGGAGGAGGAGGAGGAGGAGAATAATAATAATAACAACAACAACAACAACTCTGGGACTTCAGAATTCAAACAGACAAGCACCTGCAACATAACACCCCAGACTTAACAATTGTCGATAAGAAAGACAAAAAAGTCTGGATAGTGGACGTGGCAGTGCCTGGAGACAGCAGAATAGAAGAGAAAGAACTGGAGAAGATAACAAAATACAAAGACCTACAAATAGAAATAGAAAGACTGTGGCAAAAGCAAGCAAGGGTAGTACCAATAGTAATAGGCTCCTTGGGTGCAATCCCAAAACAACTGGAGCACCACTTGAACACCATTGGCATTGACAAATTCGCTATTAGTCAATTGCAAAAGGCGGCCTTACTAGGAACTGCTTCCATCCTGCGACGATATCTGTAATACCATCAAACATCCACATCTGCCTATCCCAGGTCCTGGGTAAAGGACTCGATAGGTAGACAAAATGCCAAATCCAGTCTGAACATCTGGCTGACTGTGCGATGATCCATAATAATAATAATAATGGGGCCCTTGATGCTCACTGAGCTTTTCTTGAAGACGTTTCATTACCCAACTAAGTAACATCATCAGTGCTAGAAGAGAGTGGGGTTTGCTCTCTATTTACACATGGAGACTAGGATTCCCTACTAGCATGGATGATGTTACCTAGTTTGGGTAATGAAACATCTGCAAGAAAACAACCATGCAGCTGTATTATTATGGTCTGCACAAGCAGGTGGAGGCATTCGGCTGTGCAAATGCGCTACATTCCTGCTCACCTCGGTGTGTCCCATGCAGTTGATTTGTCAGCAGGTGAGTTTGGGGGAAATGACACCCCTCAACGCCATCACCTATCGCGTATTGATCTTGATTGACTTGTGCAGTTAAAAGTTAAAAGTTTAAACCACATCAGAAGTATTTGGTTGTGGGTGAGGGACTGGCGCCCCCTAGTGTTCCAAGGGAATAATTAGCACTCTCTTGTTTTATTCTCCACCAGTCGTTTTCCATACAATTTTATACAGAAAAAGACTAGTGGAGAAGAATAACACAAGAGAAGCTTCAGCAATGACTGGAATCTTTTAATTTCCCTAGAATATTTTGTATGGCTGATCCTCACTCAACGACCTCTTGTTCAGCGACTGCTCAGAGTTACGACGGGGGCTGAACGAGGAGACTTACAACTGGTCCTTGAAGATAATCATAACAATGATGATGATGATGATGATGATTAGAGTTGGAAGGGATCTTGGAGATCATCTAGTCCAGTGGTTCTTAACCTGGGTGATATTGCCCCCCAGGAGGCGATTTCATTTTTCAGGGGGGCAATGGAACGAAAAGGGGCAACATGGGGGCGATGGAGCGAGAAGTTTTGGGGACACTTTTGAGACTTTTTCGTACAGTGAATGGCTGTATATCCGTCGTACAAAAACAGCAGATCGCTCTCTATTAGCGGATTGAATTGTGTTTTCAAAGGTTCCTCCAGCTAGCTTCAGTACAGAACGCCGTACATATGTGAATACGCATCGCTTATCTTCATGCGCGTTGTGCAGCAGCCTCTACCCATAAAGTGGCACGCCATTGGCCAGAATATGGGAGATATGGGAAAAAGACTGGAAATAAATTATTTGCATCGATATGTCCTGATGACAATTTTAAAGAAAACAAAAAAAGTGTTTGCATAAATCGAAGAATTATTTCCTAGGTTGTGGTTGAGAGGTTATGTTGGGGAAGGGGGGCGATGACAACTTCCTCATTGGCTCAAGGGGGCGATTCGTTCAAAAAGGTTGAGAACCACTGATTCTAGTCCAGTCCCCTGTACCGTTTCAGACAAATGGCTGTCCAGTGTCTTCTTAAAAACTTCCAGTGTTGGAGAAGGGAGTGAGGAAGGAAGGGAGGGAGGGAGGGAGGGAGGGAGGAAGGAAGGAAGGAAGGAAGGAAGGAAGGAAGGAAGGAAGGAAGGAAGGAAAAAGAATAACAATAACAGACTCGGAAGGGATCTTGGAGGTCATCTAGTCCAACCCCCTGCTCAGGCAGGAAACCCTGTACCATTCCAGACAAATGGCTGTCCAGTCTCTTCTTAAAAACTTCCAGTGTTGGAACAGCCACAGCTTCTGGAGGTAAAGTTACCACCTTGCAGTGGTGTGATTCATGCACCCAGCAACGGCCTCGCAGTTACGACCGCCGCAGCATCCTGTGGTCCCATTTGTGACCTCCGCTGCTGTCTTCCCACACAAACTCCCTGGGGAAGCCAGCGAGAAATTGCAAATGATGATCATACTTAAGAATGTCATAGGCTTCGCTTAGCAACCGCTGTCGTAGGTTGCCATGGTTACATGTCACTGCTCTTTATGCCTGTATTGGTTAGCGACAGTTGCTGGTCCCAAAGCCGTTGTTAAGCGAGGAGTAGTTGCAATCATTCATTTACACTTCATTACGCTTCATTGGTGGGAATGGACCTTGGTGTTCGTTTTTTTTATCCTTACCTGCAGAGTAAAATCAAAGATCTTGCAGAGTTTTGCTACACAGAAGTTCCTCATATGAAACTGCACCATTAACAAAAGGGTCTGATGGTTCAGGATGTTTTAGCCAAAATTTTTAAGGATCTGCTGTTTCTGTCTGATTTTGTCCGAGAATTCAGCTTGCCCTCCACACCATGTTGTTGTTGTTAGTTGCGAAGTCGTGTCCGACCCATCGCGACCCCATGGGCAACATTCCTCCAGGCCTTCCTGTCCTCTACCATCTTCTGGAGTCCATTGAAGCTCACGCCTATGGCTTCAGTGACTCCATCCAGCCACCTCATTCTCTGTCATCCCCTTCTTCTCTCACCCTCTATCTTTCCCAGCATCGGGCTCTTCTCCAGGGAGTCCTTCCTTCTCATTAGGTGGCCAAAGGACTTGAGTTTCAACTTCAGGATTTGGCCTTCTCAAGAGCAGTCGGGGTTGATCCCTCTAGGACTGAGCGGTTGGATTGCCTTGCAGTCCAGGGGACTCGCAGGCGTCTTCTCCAGCCCCAGAGTTCAAAGGCCTCCATTCTTTGGCGCTCAGCCTTTCTTAGGGTCCAACTTTCACAGCCATACGTTGACACTGGGAAAACCACGGCCTGGACTATACGCACTTTTGTCGGCAGGGTGACGTCTCTGCACCATCCCGAGTGCAACTTGCCTTCATTCCTCCAGGAATGAAGTCAAAGTTTTGTGGCCTGCGGTGGCTCTAATTCCTCCCTCTCCTTTTGAGACAAGTTGCAGAAACTTCCTGTCTTTGAACCCTACTGGTTTTAAAATTAGATTCTGAACCCCCGGGGTACAGGACCCTTCTCAAAAGCAACGGTAAAGCTGCTCGGGGCCTGTGGAATAGGAAACAAACAAATCTCGCTGAATTTTAATCGGCTGCCTCGTTGCTACAGGATTGATATATTTTTTAATCTTTTTGATTATTGTCATAATGGCTAAAGACGTGGAAATGGGGGATTGTATAAACATCAAAGGAGGTAGATTCAACCGGGCTTCCATTTCTCTTTGAATATTTTTTGGAGCTCTGATCCGACGCTCTTATTTCCTGAACTTTGAATTAGATGAGTCTGAACAAGCATCCAGTCTCTACTTTGAAAGTCTAGCCACTTGCAGAACGAGATTAACATAATTTACAAGTGAAATTCATGATGTGTTTCGAAATGGGTATTATATTATACAGAGAATTAAAGATAAAAGGATACCGTTTATTGCACGCTTATAAAAGCTTAGACAGCTCTTGTTGAAATAGGTTTGGTTATAAAATAAGCATGTTAATGAAGGTTACTTTAGTCAGAAATCTTCGCTGAATGAATGTCAAACATATAGGTGCTTTTCTGTTGCTAGCTTTGTGTAATGCTATACAAGATCTCAAAATGCTTTTTATTGGTCTGATTGACATGTTAAAACTAAGAGAAAAAATGCAGCTTTGCATCGTTGTTAAAAGCACACATTCAAAACCAAGGCTTTGTTTTTTATCACGATTCCATCTTATTAATGCAAAAGAGCACAAAGATCTTGGTTAAGGTGCTGAGTAGGTCATGAGAAACCATCTTTGGTTATTTTTGCTGGAAGACTGAACTGATCTATCACCACTGATAAGCCAGGATATTAAAAGGGTTGGACCATTGTTTAAATGACATACAGTTTTTCCATTTTCTCGACACAAGTATCTCTTTTCTTCAGAGAACTTATGACAGCAGGGTGACATGATAGCAGTCTTCCAACACTTTAGGGCAGGGGTCTTCAGACTTGGCCCTTTTATGACTTGTGGACTTCAATTCCCAGAATTCCTCAGCCAGGCACGCATGCCTGGCTGAGGAATTCTGGGAGTTGAAGTTCACAAGTCATAAAAGGACCAAGTTTGAAGACCCCTGCTTTAGGGGCTGTCACAGAGAAGATGGGGGTCAAGCTATTCTCCAAAGCGCCTGAAGAAGGCAGGACAAGAAGCAACAGACGGAAAGTAATCAAGGAGAGAAGCAACCTAGAACTAAGGAGAAATTTCCTGACAGTGAGAACAATTAACCAGTGGAACAACCTGCCTCCAGAAGTTGTGGGTGCTTCCATCACTGGAGGTTTTCAAGGACAGACTAGACAACCATTTGACCATGTTATATTTGCAAATAAAAGCTTAGTGGCAACTGTGTTACTGGCCATTTTCTTTTATTCTGTTGCGGTCTTCTTCCTGTTGCTGTATCTTGTGCTTATTTGCTGTAGCCGGCTTTGACTGGGCCCAAAAGAAAAATGGGCAGAAAAGCCTTTACAAGAGTGGGGCAGTGGAAACGTGCTGGGCCCATAACCTGTTAGAAATTCTGTATACAGCCCTACAGAATAAGCAGTGCACCGTCCACATGTGCTTTCCTGCTGCCTTGCCGCAGTTATGCAGAAAAGCACATGGGGACAGTGCACTGTTTGTTCTGCAGGGCTATATACAGAATTTCTAACAGACCGGGATGGTATATAGGGTCTCCTGCTTGAGTAGTGGGCTGGGCTAGAAGATCTCAAAGGCCTTTTCCAACCCAAATATCCTGTGACTTGCATGGTGCTTCGTCTTTTCACACTCTACAGATGCGACAAGGGGCGTTCCTGGTGAACACGGCTCGTGGAGGATTGGTGGATGAAAAGGCCCTTGCACAAGCACTGAAGGAAGGCAGAATACGGGGAGCAGCCTTAGACGTCCACGAATCGGAACCGTTCAGGTGATTTGCACTTCTCATTCTTTAAAAACAGAGATTGGAGAGTGTTGAAATAATAGCTTTGTGGGAATGCTTAGGATTTATATGCAGAGCAGATTAATTTGGAAATCAGCATCCCAAATACATTGTTTAACAGCATTTGCGTTGTTTGCATCAAAATGTAATGGGAAAAGGGACCTTAACCATCTCTAGCATCTCCTGAGACCAAGCCCGTCTCTAAACATATTCTTAATACACATTGTGACTGCAAGGATCTCTCTCATAAACCATTCAGCTGAATGTCTCTGCTTCATTTCTCATCCAGTGGATGAGAAGCGAAATGTCTTCAAAGAAAAACAAAATGTCTTCAAAGAAAAACAAGAAAGTCCAGTTGCCTCGTGAAAGAGCATCTTTGGGACTATTCAACCAAATAACTTCAAGGATCAAAAATTCAAAAATACATAGGCTAGGGCAGGGGTAGGCAACCTTGGCTCTTTTATGACTGGTGGACTTATAATAATAATAATAATAATAGTAAAGTTGGAAGGGACCTTGGAGGTCATCTAGTCCAACCCCCTGCTCGGGCAGGAAACCCTACACCATTTCGGACAAATGGCTGTCCAGTCTCTTCTTAAAAACTTCCAGTGTTGGAGCATTTACTGCTTCTGGAGGCAAGCTGTTCCACTGATTAATTGTTCTCACTGTCAGGAAGTTTCTCCTTAGTTCTAGGTTGCTTCTCTCCTTGATTAGTTTCCACCCGTTGCTTCTTGTCCTGCCTTCAGGTGCTTTGGAAAATAGCTTAATTCCCTCTTCTTTATGGCAGCCCCTGAGATATTGGAATACTGCTATCATGTCCCCCCTTGTCCTTCTCTTCGTTAAACTAGACATACCCAATTCTAGCAACCGTTCCTTATATGTTTTAGCCTCCAGTCCCCTAATCATCTTTGTTGCTCTTCTCTGTACTCTTTCTAGAGTCTCAACATCTTTTTTACATCGTGGTGACCAAAACTGGATGCAGTATTCCAAGTGTGGCCTTACCAAGGCATTGAAGAGTGTATTAATACTTCGCGTGATCTTGATTCTATCCCTCTGTTAATGCAGCCTAGTACTGTGTTGGCCTTTTTGGCAGCTGCCGCACACTGCTGGCTCATATTTAACTGATTGTCTACTAGGACTCCGAGGTCCCTCTCACAGTTACTACTATTGAGCATGGTGCCACCTATGCTGTACTTGTGCATTTGGTTTTTCTTGCCTAAATGTAGAACCTTGCTTTTTTCACCATTGAATTTCATTTTGTTAGTTAGTGCCCAGTGTTCAAGTCTGTCCAGATCCTTCTGTACCTGAAGCCTGTCTTCTGGAGTGTTGGCTATTCCTGCCAGCTTGGTGTCATCTGCAAATTTGATGAGTTCCCCATCTATCCTTTCATCCAAATCGTTGATGAAGATGTTGAAGAGTACTGGGCCCAGAACAGAGCCCTGGGGCACCCCACTACACACTTCCCTCCATATAGATGCAGTTCCATTGAGGACCACTCGCTGAGTACGGCCGGTCAGCCAGCTACGGATCCATCTGGTGGTGGTTCTGTCTACCCACATTTTTCTATCTTGTCAAGTAGTAGGTTGTGATCTACTTTATCAAATGCCTTACTGAAGTCCAAGTAAATTATGTCCACAGCATTCCTCTGATCCACTAATTTTGTCACTTGGTCAAAGAATGCAATAAGATTTGTCTGGCATGATCTATTTTTGACAAACCCATGTTGGCTTTTAGTAATGACTTTGTTTGCCTCTAGGTGTTCGTTGATTCATTGTTTGATTATCTTTTCCAGGATCTTCCCAGGTATTGAGGTCAGGCTGATAGGTCTGTAATTTCCTGGATCCATTTTTTTTCCTTTTTTGAGGATGGGAACTACATCAGCTCTTTTCCAGTCCTCTGGTAGTTCCCCTGTGTTCCAGGATCTTTGAAAAATATAGTTCAGTGGCTCCGATATCACATCTGCCAGTTCCTTGAGAACTCTGGGGGTAATCATCTGGCTGGCGATTTGAACTCATCTAGCTGGACAGGTGCTCCCTAACCATTTTCTTGCCCTTATCTTGTGTTTCTGTTTTGTTTTTTATGGCACTATTTTTGATAGGTTGGTCTGTTTTTTCCCTTTGTGTAAAGACAGATGCAAAAAATGAGTTAAATAGTTCTGCTTTCTCCCTGTTGCTTGTCACCTTCTTGCCACTTCCACCCACTAATGGACCAATCATTTCCTTCACTTTTTTCTTGTTTTTTACATGTTGAAAGAAGCTTTTTTTGTTATTTTTGACTTTGGTCGCAAGCCTTAGTTCATTTTGAGCCTTGGCTTTCTTCACTTCATCTTTGCAGGCTCGGGCTATTTGCTGATATTCTGACTTAGTTATGTTCCCCTCTTTCCACTTTCTATACTTGTCCTTTTTATCTTTCAATTTGTCAGAGAGTTCTTTATGCAGCCATGCTGGTTTCTTTTGAGAGCTGTTGTTTTTCCTCTTTGTTGGTATTGTGCTAGACTGTGCTTTTATTATCTCATTTTTCAAAATTTCCCAAGCTTCTTGAGTTGTTTTCCCCTTGAGGATTCTCATCCATGGAATCCTTCCCAAGCCCTCTCTAAGTTTATTGAAATTACCTCTCTTGAAGTCCAAGACTCTAGTTTGACTGTGTTCTATTGCTTGTGCTTCTATAATGTTGAATTCTAATATTGCATGATCACTTCCTCCCAGGGTTCCTATGGCTTCAACACCTTCTATCATTTCATCTCTGTTAGTGAGAATTAGATCCAAAATGGCTAATCCCCTAGTTCCCTTCTCTACTTTTTGGGAGACAAAGTTGTCTGCTAGGTTTGCCAGGAAACCTGTTTGATCTTCCACTTGGTGCGGAGTTTGTCTCCCAGTTGATGTCAGGGTAGTTAAAGTCCCCCATTACTATTGTGATGTGCTTCCTACATACCTTAGTTAGCTGACTAGCAAAAAGTTCATCTATTTCCTCTGTTTGGTTGGGTGGTCTGTAGTATACACCTATGGCAATGTCATTTCCCCCCCCCTTTTATATTGACCCAAATGCATTCAAGAGAGTTTTTATCATTGTTGTACTCTATTTCTGTGGAGATGTAGTTATTTCTTATATAGAGAGCAACTCCACCTCCTCTTTTATTTTGTCTGTTTCTTTTAAATAATTTAAATCCCTCTAGCTGTGTGTTCCATGTGTGAGTTTCATCCCACCATGTTTCCGTAATGGCAACAATATCGTATCTGCCCTCATTAACCTGAATTTCTAGTTCACCCTGTTTGCTGTTCATACTCTGTGCATTGGTGTATAAACATTTGAGTCCTTTGTGGGTGGCCCTGTGTTTCCTTTCTACATAACCTGTGTGGTGCCTGAGTTCCCCTATTGTCTTACCACCTATTTGGTTAGTGCACTTTATGTGGCACTCGCTATTAGAGGCTTCATTTTGATTGGTAGCAAGGTTGGTATTCTTGTCCACACACACATCTATGCTACATGCACTGATAGCCCTATAGTTTTTAAATTGCCGGGGACAGGGTTGTTCCGTATCAATTAACTCCCTGTCCCCGCTGTTTAGTTTAAATTTCCCCCTTCAACTCCCAGAATTCCTGAGCCAGCATGGGGGAACTATGGCCCCCTCACTTCAACTCCCAGAATTCCTGGGGACTATCACTGGACTTCAACTCCCAGAATTCCTCAGCCAGCATGGGGGAACTATGGCCCCCTCATGACTCGTGGACTTCAACTCCCAGAATTCCTCAGCCAGCATGGGGGAACTATGGCCCCCTCATGACTTGTGGACTTCAACTCCCAGAATTCCTGAGCCAGCATAGGGGAACTATGGCCGCTTTATGACTGGTGGACTTCAACTCCCAGAATTCCTGAGAAAGCATGGCCGGTTCAGGAATTCTGGGTATTGAAGTCCACAAGTCATCAAAGAGCCAAGGTTGCCTACCCCTGGGCTAGGAGAATCTGGGAAATGATCTTGAGCTGGACTTTTCCCAGAATAAAATATGGAGACTAGGAAGTCCAAAAAGAAAAAAGGAACAGATCCTTTTTTAAAAAAAATAAAGTTAATTTAACTCTCTTTCATTGTTCTGAGATTCTGTAGGGGAAAATTAGGGCTGGCTCTTTTGTTAAGCACAGCCTGGCATTTACAGATCTTTTAAAAATCTTGTCTTCCAGTCAAGCTTGACTCCCAGTAACTGTACGGACTTGTCTAGGCAATCTTGTTGACAATATTACACAAAAGGTTGGTCATCGTGTACGTACAGGATGTTTCCTATTTTTCCTAGTCTAGCCTCTAGCTTTGGGATTCCCAATTATCTCTCCCAAGTGCAAGTAGAGACCAGACTTGTACAACGATTTGAAATCAGCCAAATCTACTCAGGAAGAATCACGTAAAAAGACACACTTGGGCTGAACTACACACCTCTTGCGTTGCAATAAAGTTAGCCTCCTGGAGCGGTTATTTATTTATTTTTTAAATCATGTTTCCAGCTTGACCTCTTTCTAGTAAGCTCACTGCAGGTCCTCCCCTTGCGGCAGTTCATTTAGTGACCGTTCGGAGTTACAACGACACTGAAAAAAGTGACTTACGACCGTTTTTCTCACACGACCGTAGCAGCAATCTCGGTGGTCACATGATAAAAATTCAAATGCTTGGCAACCGATTTGTGTTTGTGATGGTTGCTGTGTCTCGGGTGTGTGTGTGTGTCATGCGATCCCCTTTTGCGACCTTCTGACAAGCTGGATTCACTTAACAACGGTGTGGCTAACTCAACAGCCGCAGGGATTCGCTTGGCAACCATGCCAAGGAAGGTTGTAAAATGAGGCCAAATTCACTTCACAAATGTCTCGCTTACCAACATAAATTCTAGCCTCAATTGTGGTCGTAAGGCGAGGACTGCCTGTATTTATAGCCCTCCTTTTCAACATTTTCATCCCACGTGGGATAGTGGTTCCCATAACTCCTTAGCCCCAGGGGTAGGGAACCTTGACCCCCTCATGACTGGTGGACTTCAACTCCCAGAATTCCTCAGCCAGCCTGGCTCAGCTTGGAAACCTCTCCCTTCCCCCTCAGCGTGGCTGGCTCAGGAATTCTGGGAGCTGAAGTCCACGAGTCACAAAAGAGCCAAGGTTCCCTATCCCTGGGCTAGGAGGCTCACCGCTTAAAACAGGAGGACTTAAGACAGGGGTAGGCCACCTTGGCTCTTTTATGACTTGTGGACTTCAACTCCCAGAATTCCTGAGCCAGCATGGGGGAACTATGGCCCCCTCATGACTGGTGGACTTCAACTCCCAGAATTCCTGAGCCAGCCTGGCTCAGCTTGGAAACCTCTCCCTTTCCCCTCAACATGGCTGGCTCAGGAATTCTGGGAGCTGAAGTCCACCAGTCATAAAAGAGCCAAGGTTGCCAACCCCTGCCTTAGCCTGTATGGGAAGTGATGTCCGACGCCTCTAAATCAGCCGTCTGGGAGCTACGTCAGGCTGTCCTCAGCGCTGACGATGCCACAGGTGGTCCTCGACTTATAACCATTTGTTTAGTGACCGAAGTTACAAAAGCCCTGAGGAAAGAGACTTACCTCTGGTTCCTGCCCTCGTGATTGTCGCAGCCTCCCTGAGGTCACGTGATCAAATCTCAGGGCGGTTGACAACCGGCATGTACTCAGGACGGTTGCAGCCTCCCCCCTGGGTCACGTGACCACCGTCGGCGACCCTCCCAGCAGCAAAAAAGACAATGAGGGAAGCTGGATTCGCTTAGCGACCGTGCGTGTCACTTCACAAGCTCAGTGATTCACACTCCACCACCACGGCCAAAAAGCTCGTATCAAATCGGGCGCCCTGCTTAGCGACTGGTCCCGATGAGGGTCGTGCTGTTTTGTCGGCCTGCGTGGAAGCCATGGCCGTCCAGGCTGAGTTTCGAACCGGCCACCAAGCAGCGCTTGAGCTTCGCTGAGACAGTTTCCGGGAGAGAAGTCCCGCGGGAGAGATTTTATTCGAGAAGACGTAATAATTCCTCGGCGTTTGCTTCCCTCAGCTTTAGCCAGGGGCCCTTGAAGGACGCCCCAAACCTCATCTGCACGCCCCACGCGGCCTGGTACAGCGAACAAGCCTCGATAGAGATGCGGGAGGAGGCGGCGAGGGAGATCCGGAGAGCCATCACAGGTGAGGAGCCACGTTCTTCTAATCTCCATGAAGGCCCTCCAGGTCGCGGTCCTCTTTTTCAAGAGGACTATCTTGGGTTTTTTCCCCCTTGAAGACGTTTCGCTTCTCATCCAAAAAGCTTCTTCGCTTCTACTGAACGGTGGAAGGATTTATATTCCTTGCAGTCCTCTGGTCATTTGCACTCCCTCCCTCTGAGAGTCGTTGAGGCCACTTGGACAGCTAAACAGATAACCTGCCAACGACTCTCAGAGGGAAGACTAACGACCGGATGACTGGAAGGAACAGGAATCCTTCCATTCTCCACCCTTCCGTCCGAACTGAAGAAGCTTCTAGGACGGGAAGTGAAACGTCTTCAAGGAAAACCAAGGAAAGTCCAGTTGCCTCTTGAAAAAAAAGGGACACGTTCTTTTAAGGGACTTCCTTGGCCTAGTGTCCTAGCCGGCATCTTCTGTCTTCAACAAGACCAAACAAACCTCGGTTAACTAAAGAACCACACTTGACCAATGGTAACATGTAGAGTTGATAAGGAGAGAAATAACCTCTCCCACGTTTTGTTTTTTTATGTCGCCCATCCATCTCACATCACTTGTTCTTAGGACATTAGAGGGGAACTTGGTGTCCTAAGGACTTGAAAAGGTTTTTGTGTCAACGGCTCCTTTGTCCAAAAATTTGAGTCAGGCAGGGGTCATCCAGGTAGCCATCCCAAAGCAGCACATTTTGAAATCCCATCAAGAGTCTGGAAATCGTTTAAAACTAACCTTCGTGGAATACGTCCCTCAGAGGCTACGGAGAGTTGTCCCCTATGAACATTGTAAAGAACTCATAAGACTGAGCATGCCAGGAGAATAAGACCATTTCTTTATTTAATAATAGCCTTTCCTGTCATAATGGGACAGACATTTTGAGAGCTTCTAGCTGTGGACCTCTGCAGAAGGATGGAGGGTAGTCCTCTGCCAGACTTTTTCTCACTGGGGTATGAGGAGACCTGTTATTCCCTGCTGGCCATAGAGGATTTGAAGGGCCAGGACTGTACAGATAATAATAATAATAAAGTTGGAAGGGACCTTGGAGGTCATCGAGTCCAACCCCCTGCTCAGGAAGGAAACCTACACCATTTTGGACAAATGGCTGTCCAGTCTCTTCTTAAAAACTTCCAGGGTTGGAGCATTCACCGCTTCTGGAGGCAGGTGGTTCCACTGTTAATTGTTCTCACTGTCAGGAAGTTTCTCCTTAGTTCTAGGTTGCTTCTCTCCTTGATGAGTTTCCATCCGTTGCTTCTTGTCCTGCCTTCAGGTGCTTTGGAGAATAGCTTGACTCCCTCTTCTTTGGGGCAACCCCTCAAATATTGGAGCACTGCTATCATGTCACCCCTCGTCCTTCTCTTCGTTAAACTAGACATACCCAATTCCAGCAACCGTTCCTTATGTGTTTTAGCCTCCAGTCCCCTAATCATCTTTGTTGCTCTTCTCTGTACTCTTTCTAGAGTCTCAACATCTTTTTTACAGATGCAGGGGCTCCTTCAGTCTACAGACCAGGGTTTCTCCACCTTGGCAACTTTAAGACACGTGGACTTCAACAACTCTCAGAATTCACGGGTGGCTGGGGAATTTTGGGAATTGAAGTCCACATGTTGATTGCCAAGGTTGAGAAATGCCCCTCATAGGATCTGAAGTCCTCTTGCATTCCTCTGGTGAGTGAGGACAAGAGTGTCAGCCTTGAAGCTCTCAGAGCTAGTTTCCTTTGATTGAAAGACTGGGAAGGAACTTCATCAAGGTTCAAGCAAGGTGAGGACCAGGAACAAGGACCACAGGAAACAACTGTGACATTATATAGAGGATCTACCGTCTACCCTCCTTGGGCTGCTCCGTTGATCCCTTGCTTTTGCTGCTATGACCAGCGGAGGGGTGAAAAGAATAGAATAGTGTAACAGAGTTGGAAGGGACCTTGCAGGTCATCTAGTCCAACCCCCTGCTCAGGCAGGAAACCCTATACCATTTCAGACAAATGGCTGTCCAGTCTCTTCCCATGTTGGAGCATTCACCACTCCTGGAGGCAGGTTGTTCCACTGGTTAATTGTTCTAAATTGTTCTCTTCCTTAGGTCGTATTCCGGACAGCCTGAAAAACTGTGTCAACAAAGAACATTTGACCACAGCTACACACTGGGCAAGCATGGACCCAGGAGTTGTTCACCCGGAGCTTAATGGCGCTACGTACAGGTAGGATGGCCTCCATCCCATTTCCGTCACCTCCCAGGCAGTCCAAAATGGGAAGCGCCCGTGCTCTTCTTTGGGATGTTCTCCCGTGTCACAAAGACCTCAGATGTCCAGGCAGTAGACAAGCAGAGGAGAACATCCATAGCTCAAGGTTGAACTGTGGGGTCCTTGGGGCTCTCGGAACTTGGCCGCTTTCTTCCAGACGTTTCATTACCGAACTAGGGAACATGATCAGGGCTAGCTGGTTGAGGTTTGTCCACAGATGGAAATTCCTCCTGTTGGTGTGCTCAGTGAAGTGTTTGAAATCCAAATATGGTACCAGTGGAAGAGAATACTCGTAGCTCAGAGTTGAACTGTGGGGTCCTTGAGGCTGGGTTGTTTTCTTCCAGATGTTTCATTACCAAACTTGGCAACTTCATCATGATGTTCCCTAGTTTGGTAATGAAATGTCTGCAAGAAAACAAATCAAGCCCAGAGGGCACCAAGGACCCCACAGTCCCTCCTCCTCCTCCTCCTCCTCCTCCTCCTCCCCCCACAATCCCCATTCCCTTCTAGCACTGATGATGTTGCCTAGTTGGGTCATGAAATGTCTGCAAGAAAACAAATCAAGCTCAGAGGGCACTAGAACAGTGGTTCTCAACCTGTGGGTCGGGACCCCATTTGGGGTCGAACGAGCATTTCACGGGGGTCGCCAAACAACGCAGTCGCCATTTTTCCCCCTTTTCCTTAGCTGTGCTACTCCCTTTTATTCTGTTGGCTTTTGAAAGCCAACAGAATAGACTCTCTTGAATAGAGTCTAATTCTATTGGCTTTCCAAAGCCAATAGGAATTGTCCAGGCTGTCTCTGCCCTGCTGAGCCCGCCAAAAGTCCCAGTCTGCAAACGGTGCTGCACCAGTTGAGTAGTCCTCGACTTACGACCGGTTCAGTAGTCCTCGACTTACGACCAGTGGGGGGGGTCGCGGCATTAAAAAGGTTGAGAACCACTGCACTAGAAGGACCTACAGTCCTTCTCCTCCTCCTCCTCTCCCCCCCTTCCCCCTTCTCCTCCCCCCCCCTTCCCTTCTAGCACTGATGACACTGTATTACCTAGTTGGGTAAGGAAACGTCTGCAAGAAAACCAGCCAAGCTCAGAGACCACCAAGGACCCCATGGGGGGATTCAGTCTCGGGATCTGGACTTCCTCGGAAGCGTTTCCGCTCAGCCCTGGCCGTGATTCCCTAGGCATAACGTTGCTCCCTCTCCTCCTCTTTTAGCCGGTATCCTCCTGGCGTCGTGAGTGTGGCTCCCCCCGGAATCCCCACCGCCGTGGAAGGGATCGTCCCCAACGCCATGCCCTTGTCGCATGGGCTGCCTCCGGTCGCCCACCCCCCGCACGCTCCTTCTCCAGGCCAGACGGTGAAACCGGAAGCGGATAGAGACCACGCCAGTGACCAATTGTAGCCTACGAGATGACCCTTCCCAGCGTAGATGGTTGCCCCATTGGTCAAGGACGTGGTGAAACGTTCGGACAGAACCACGGCGAGCCCCTGGCGTCAGGCCACTCACCTTTTTAACGAACTGGTCCAAGATGCAGTATCCTAAAACGAGGAGCGGTGGGAGAGTTGATGGAACGAAGATCGGAAAACTTTATTCCTCCATATAAAATGTAGTTTTATGTCCCTGTCCAGTGAACTGAATCACAAGTTTTTTGTATTCCTGTGGGTTCTTTGTCAAGCCAGAGAAGTTAGTAGTTAATTATATCATGAATGTACTTGTCTGTGTACAGTTTTTAGAACATTAACCAAGGTTTGTTTGCTCCATTGTCAACAGCAAAAAAAAAAAAAAACTACAAAAAAAACCCACAAAGAGAGGCGTTCGACAAACCACTTTCAAAAGTTGAAAACTTTTTTTTTTGTTTCGTTTTTATATGTTAAAAAAAAAAATGCCCCAAAATTGAGGCAGTCGATGAAACTTCTCAGGATAATGACTCCCACCCACCTATTTTTTTTTCCCCCTTTCTTTCTATGCCATACAAGTGCATTGTTTTTTCTACCTTCTTGTCTTATTATTATTTTTTTTTAAGAATAATTTAATAAAACGCAAAACACTTTTCTCCTGATTTTGGCATAAATTCCCCACATTTCAGAATGAAGATGTTTGAAAGAGATTTTTGAGGTGCAAATAAAAGTTTTTTTGTATAAACAAGGGTCCTGCTTTTTTTTTTTTTTTTTGTCACCAGTTAAAGTATATATTATTGCTGGGGTGCAGAGAGAGAAAGAGAGAGAGAGAGAAAGAGAGAGAAAGAAGAGAGACTGACTGAGAAAGAGGCACTAGAGCTACCGAAAAGTAGAATATATTTCATCGCCTACATGAACTCCTTCCCAGTAATGTAGTAGGCTAGCAATATTTTGCGTTAAATCATGTTTGTGACTGTATCCATTTGTATGAATTATTTTAAAGAAATAAAAATTCCAAACAAACCACACGCGACTCTTTTAATTCCTTTTTTTTTTTTTTTTTGACGTCATTCGACTCTGGATTCATTTCATAGGCTCGCTTCATTTTGGCGTGGCTGTCTTAGAAATTAAACAGTACAAAACCCTTTTTTTTTTTTTCTCTTAACACAGGCTGGAAAGAATCTGTGTTCTTGCCAACTTCTAACAGAGCAAAATGGAAGGAGATTGGAAACATTGCAAGTGGGAATTGCTTTCTTTTTTTAAAAAAAAAAACTTTATTGGTTTTTTTAATTAATACAAAGTGCTCGAGACACACCGTGGGGCTGGGGTAATCAAAAATCCAAAAACAAAACATATATAACTAATTCAGTCAGTACATCAAATATTCCCTCTCTATTTCCCTCAAATAGCTTATATATTTAAACTAGTCTATTTCTACCTTAAATTTCTATTAATCCTAAACCTGTTTTAAAGCTTTATACAATTACAAGACCATAATCTAATTTAACTTCAAATACACACATTATCAGTTCAGGTATCCCTTCCAAATATGTCCTAATTCTTTAATTTCATCATAAGTCTTATTTATTTCTTCTTCCACAAATATCTCCCAATTAAAATAAAATAATAATCTTATACATATCTAATCCATCAATCCATCAATTTTTTTTTGTTAACAAAATAATAACCTTAAATCATTTGAGCCCTTTAGACAAGGTTCTGTTCTCATCCAATTAATTATCAAACCTAATATCATCCATATTATCAGACAAAACACATCATCTTATTAAAATCACATTCAATTAATTATTAATTCAGTCCCAATCTAAAACATCTCTTCATTTTTCTTCATTCCATTATATAGTAATTTTCATACATTAATCACCCATTTTTTTCTCATTTTTATTCAAAAATCTAATCCTTAACTCAGTCCGTAGTTCTAAAATGCCTTATATCCAATATATATAATTTTAAATTTATCTTTTCAGTCTTATTCTAGGCTTTTTTTTCTGCCAAGCAGGTTTCCACAACAACGCTTTCAACCGGTAAATCTCTCTTTGTTGCTTGTGATGATATTTGAGGCAGTAATCTTCCTGTCATCTGGATTGGACCTCCATTTCTCTTATTCTTGAAACCTCTCTGCATTAAAGGTCCAAATCTCAATCTTTGTTTTTTCTGGTCCTCACAAATATAGATAAGATGCTTGTAGGATGAAATAAGTTCCTCTATATCCTCAATAAAGTCATCTTTTAGTGTAGAGTAGTCAGGTGTAATCTGAAAGTCACTTTTAAAGTTTGAAGAATAATCTCTGGTTCTTAGTTCTGTGGTAATCTCTTTCATTGTAACAAATTCCTCTTTAATTTCCTTTAATTCCTCTTCTGGTATGTTTTGGTTTATAGCATAAACAGATGTGATCTGAAAGTCAGTTTGAAAGTTTGGGGTAGCATTGACTCTTCGTTCTGTAGTAAACCTTTTCCTTATAGCACATATTTCTTCAGAAACCTCATAAATCTTTTCCAGTGTAAGCTTGCAATTTAAATGAGAGTGGAGTTTCTCCATTTTAAAAGTAATCAAAGAAAGTCTTTTCTGCTTTATTATTTATTTATTTATTTATTTATTTTTTAATGAAGGTTGTAATTAAAACAGTGTCCACCCCGTCTGTTCCCACAGCTGCACCAGCGTATCTCTTCCAGGAATATTTTGAAGGTCAGGTTTCTATCCAAAGAAGAGTTGCAGCACTGACTTTTCACCACTAGATGAAATACAAAATACACATACATCGCCTTCCTTCCTTCCTTCTTTCCTCTCTCACTCTCCCTCCCTCCCTCCTTCCTTTCCTATTCCTTCCTCCCTTTCTTCCTTTCTCCTTCCTTCCTCCCTTCTTCCCTTCTTCCTTCTTTCCTATTCCTACCTTCCTTCCACTCCCTCCTTCCTTCCTTCCTTCCTTCTTCTTCCTTCTTTCCTATTCCTTCCTTCTCTCTTCCTCCCTCCCTCCTCCCTCCTTTCCTCTCCTCTATCCAAAGAATAGTTGCAGCACTGACTTTTCACCACTAGATGAAATACAAAATACACATACATCTCCTTCCTTCCTTCCTTCCTTCCTTCCTTCCTTCCTTCCTTCCTTCCTTCCTTCCTTCCTTCCTTCCTTCCTTCTTTTCTCTCTCACTCTCCCTCTCTCCTTCCTTCCTTCTTTCCTATTCCTTCCTTCCTCCTTCCTTCCTTCCTCCCTCCCTTCTTCCTTCTTTCCTATTCCTCCTTCCTTCCTTCCTTCCTTCCTTCCTTCCTTCCTTCCTTCCTTCCTTCCTTCCTTCCTTCCTTCCTTCCTTCTTCCTCCTTTCCTATTCCTTCTCTCTTACTCCCTCCCTCCTTTCCTCTCCTCCCTCCCTCCCTCCCTCCCTCCCTCCCTTTTCTTCCCAGTATTCCTAGTATGCGATGCCCCCCATAGAAGAGCCGCCCCAGGACGTCCCCCCAGGGTGGGTTTCTCTTCCCTGTGACTTCTACCTGCAAAGGACCTCGGTCAACACTTCCATTTCAGGTTTCCCCAGAACTCTCCCTCTTGGCCTCCGCCTTCTGTTTTCCGTGGAGTGAAACGTGCAGCTCCCTGGCCAGGCCCTCAGTATCATTTGCATCTGGCGAGCTCCCTCCGGGGACTCTGAGACCATCGGCCTGGGCTGGAGAAATAATTGCAGGATGAATCTTACTTTGGAAGCTTACTGGAGCCGTGTGTGCCAGACAGACGTTTTCATGCTTTGCCCTGACAAAAGTCTCCCCCCTTCCCCGGATATGATTAGAAAAACAGCCCAGCAGGGTAAGATTACATTGGCTTCCCGGCGTATTTCAACAAACCTGAGTGACCAAAGCTTTTCCTAAACTTTTCATTTCTCTCAAAATTCACAACGAAGCTGCCACACCATCTGCAAATCTGACAGAGAACATAGAATAATGGAGCGGGAAGGGACCTTGGAGGTCTTCTAGTCCAACCCCCTGCTCAGGCAGGAGACCCTTACTGAATCATAGAATAACAGAGTGGGAAGGGACCTTGGAGGTCATCTAGTCCAACCCCCTGCTCAGGAAGGAAACCCTATACCATTTCGGACAAAGGGCTGTCCAGTCACTTCTTAAAAACCTCCAGTGTTGGAGCATTCACCGCTTCTGGAGGCAGGTGGTTCCACTGGTTAACTGTTCTGTCAGGAAGTTTCTCCTTAGTTCTAGGTTGCTTCTCTCCTTGATTAGTTTTCATCCGTTGCTTCTTGTCCTGCCTTCAGGGGTTTTGGAGAAGAGCTTGACTCCCTCTTCTTTGGGGCAGCCCCCCAAATATTGGAACCCTGCTATCATGTCCCCCCTGGTCCTTCTCTTCATTAAACGAGACGTACCCAATTCCAGCAACTGTTCTTCATACGTTTTTAGCCTCCAGACCCCTGATGATCTTTGCTGCTCTTTGCACTCTTTCCAGGATCTCAGCCTCTTTTTTGTATCGTGGTGACCAAAACTGGACTCAGCATGTCAAGTGTGGCCTCGCTAGTGCAGTATCAAGCAAGAGAACCACTTCCCATGATCTTAAAACCATCCCTCTGTTGATGCAGACTGTGTTAGCTTAATTAGACCAACTTACAACTTTTCACTGAATTTACAAATCCATGATTTTGCCTGAACCTTCTCCAGTATCATTCCCAACGGACAACTTCAAGTAGGCTGAAATGGGAGGCAATGGCGACAGCTGGAAGATGTTGGCCAGGATGTCAGAAGTCCCCAAAACATGGCTTAGTCTTCCCACCCCACCCCAGCTTTCATTTGCAGGAATTCCTTCCACTTAACTACAGACTTCTGATGTTACCAAACAGTGTGGGAAAACATTAAACTGCGTTCATTCCTATGATAGTAAATCAAGCAACAATTGAAAACTTTGCAACAACTTCATTCCGAAAAAGAGTTATCAGACAAGATTTGTGATGGATGTACAATGACTCCTATGCTGCATGTTTTTCGTTCCTCTATTCAGTTCTAGAAATGTGTTCCATGTCCTAAAAAAATATACTGAACAGAAGACCCGTCATGTTACAAAATTTTCTTTTTCATTAAAAAAACAACACACCCCAAGATTTTAAAGCAGAATTATTTTGTACCTAAACGCAATATACAGAGCCCTGTCCTTGCAAATTGGCTTTATCAAAGCAATGCTGGCTCATGTACAATTTAAATCAAAATATCAGCAAGCTAGTAATGTAATTAGAATACAAGACATTAGAATATTTTTTATAGAATGATAATGTAACCACTGTCTTGGTGGAATCAACCAATGCAAATAATGCTTTTTTTATACTCTGGTTTCTGTTCAGATCATAATAAAAAAACTTTTAGACTCAACACCAGGTCAGCATAATAAATACCAGGAGCCCTAAAATCATTTTAAAGAAAGCTCCCAGCTGTTTTTAATAAGTAGGGAACTCACCTTTGGTTACAGAACCAAATCATACCTCTTTGGACTGACCAAAACGTTTTCCTTAATAATTTGGAGTTTCATCTGAACGCTGCATGAACAATCTATGCATTTTGGGGTTTTTTTAAATTAACCTTTATGTGTGACTGTCTGTGTATACAGGTAGCCCTTGACTTATGTTCACAATTGAGCCCAACATTTCTGTTGTTAAGTGGATTTTGCCCCATTTTACGACCTAGAACTAAGGAGAAACTTCCTGACAGTGGGAACAATTAACCAGTGGAACAACCTGCCTCCAGAAGCGGTGAATGCTCCAACAGTGGAAGTTTTTAAGAAGAGACTGGACAGCCATTTGTCCGAAATGGTGTAGGGTTTCCTGCCTGAGCAGGGGGTTGGACTGGATGACCTCCAAGGTCCCTTCCAACTTTATTATTATTATTATCATTCATCGCACAGTCAGCCAGATGTTCAGACTGGATTTGGCATTTTGTCTACCTATCGAGTCCTTACCCAGGACCTGGGATAGGCAGATGTGGATGTTTGATGGTATTACAGTATCGTCGCAGGATGGAAGCAGTTCCTAATAAGG